GTTGACGAGTTTCAAATTACTGGTTTTTCAGTTCATTTTTTCATCCATACATTCTAGGATTTCTTAGAAAATTATAAACTACTGTTTCAGATCTCTTGATTTTTTTTAAAATTTCTCGCCCACCTAATCCACTGTCTCAAAAAGAAACAAATTTCCCCTTTTCAGAATCAGAAAGATGAGCTCTTTTGGACATCGTTCAAACGTCACGATGAAAGTCGACGACTGACAAAATTTATTTCACAAACCAATCATTTAATCCTGACTGTGATTTTCGATTTTCAAATGCATAAACTTAAATGATAAGGAAAGAAAAAACAATATCCTTATACTTTTTTCCCCATATCATTAAGATTTAAAAATCAAAAAGTAAATTTCAACTGGTTTATATTTAGATATTTTAATTAGTTTACATAGGGAATAATTTAACTTTACTCCTATTTTTCTTCAAAAATGTGCAATCGATTTCGTTAACAAGATTTCTAGAATTGGTGATTTTTCGCGTGTCCTTATACTTAATTTGTTCACTGTAGTCTCATTCGATTCATCCCAAAAAATAGATAGCTAAAGGAAATGTATTACTTGTTTAGACAGCAATATCAGATGCGTAAATAGCTACACGTACAAAATTTGTACTTTTTGTAGATAAAACCTTCAAAATATCTAAACTATTAGTCTGATCGTCTCAAGAATAGTCTCATTCAATTCAGAGTAAAAGAAAAATTAAAAAAAAATGCATGGGAAAAAATGCTTCATTTCTCTATATAACATAAAATCATAATGGTCTGATACCGTTTTCCGTTGCTGTCGGCGCATTTTTATTGGTCGGAAAATCACGTGGTAGGATCCAGTTTTCCCCCATTCATTTCCATATTGTTTAGGTTGTCATCAGCATAAAATTAACAGAAGTCGTTTTCCTTTAAATATTTTTGTATCCCTAATTTAAAGTTATTTTTCAGTACTGCTATTATTAGTGAAAATTTTAAATTATGGTTGAGAACTCATCAAATTTGTTTGAACAATATAATGTATTAGGAATATAAATGTTATTTAAAAAAATGATAATTAAAAAATCACTTCCGTTCACCAAGAGATCTAAATGTTTATAATACTAATAGAGAGTAATGTTTGGAAGTGAGAAGTAGAGGCGCAAGAGCGTAACTAAACAGAATTCCTTTTAGTACATAGATGTTAAGTGAATATTTTTAACTTTAGTAGAAAAACTGTTTTCTGGCAAGAAAAAAACAATTATTGCGAAGCAATCATCGGGTTGGTGAGCGTTAGCGAGAAGGGGGCTTTGCCCCCTAGTACCTTTATAAAAGAATTCAAATCTGTCCGTCAAATCACACACCTATTTCCCTCAAGCAAAAGCGAAGCGTATAAAATATAAAACAAAAGGGAAGCATTTTGTTTTATATATTTTTTATCAGAGGAGATTGCCATTTATAATATCGTAACAAAATTTTCCAGGAGGAAGAAATTCTTGGGTATTACTTTTTCGAAGAAAAGCCTAATTTTACTAGACTAATTAACGAATCAGTGAATCAGCGCATTTGGGAATGGGTGAAATAGTTTGAAAAAAAAGTGTATGAGCTTATAATTGTAGTACGGAAGTAAATGACAACAATTTCTGTACTTTTTTTCTTTTTATTTCTAAAAATTTTTTTCTGATATATTACTTTTACCTAGCTCCAATTTCTTTCAATGATCAAATTAACCTTGTGTGAGACGTAAACCTAACTTTGAGTTAAAAAAAGAAAAGAAAGTAGAATGAATATGTTTAGAAATGTTTTAGTTTTTTGTTACAATTTAAGGGCTTGCGATTTCTTAAATCAGGAAACTAAACGCTAAAAAATTACTCAGCCTTTTCCTCTAGAGTTTGAGAAATCGTATTTTGCTCTAAAATAAGATGGAAATGTCAAAAAGTTGTAATAAATGAATAATCTTGATTTCAATTTAACTAAACGTTTCGTTAGATTAACATTGCGCTTAAGTCCATAACTTGGTAACTCGGAGCACAAGACGTGATGGGAACTTCTCAGAGGAATATTAGGACAAACTGATTCATCAAGTTTTATAGCTGGCGAGTTCCGTTTGGTCTCAGTCACTTAATTTCTAATATTAATGCTTCACAAAATAATAGTTAAAAATTTCTTTTCTCATAACACTTCCAAAATTAATGCTTCACAAAATAATAATTAGAAATTTCTTTTCACACAATACTTCTGAAACTAATCCTTCTTCAAATAATTATTTAAAAAATTCATTTTTCATAATACTTTTAAACGAATGCTTCAAAAAATAATTATTAAAAGTTTCTTTTTTCATGATCTCGAATTTGAAAAAACAAAATTCCTATACTCCGCAGCTATAAACTTACAAATACTAATACACAATACAAATACTGAAAGAAACAGTTTGAGAGCCATTGAAGCCTACGAAATGATAAAATAAATAAATTTAAGAAAGTAATTAATCAAAAGAAATAAATAAAAGGGGGAATATCGAGAATGATGAAAACACTGAAAATCTTAGGGTNAACTAAACGTTTCGTTAGATTAACATTGCGTTTAAGTCCATAACTTGGGAACTCGGAGCACAAGACGTGATGGGAACTTCTCAGAGGAATATTAGGACAAACTAGTTCATTATTACTAGTTCATTCACTAGTTTAATATTAGGACAAACTGGCGAGTTCCGTTTGGTCTCAGTCACTTAATTTCTAAAATTAATGCTTCACAAAATAATAGTTAAAAATTTCTTTTCTCATAACACTTCCAAAATTAATGCTTCACAAAATACAAATTAGAAATTTCTTTGTACACAATACTTCTGAAACTAATCCTTCTTCAAATAATTATTTAAAAATTCATTTTTCATAATACTTTTAAACGAATGCTTCAAAAAATAATTATTAAAAGTTTCTTTTTTCATGATCTCGAATTTGAAAAAACAAAATTCCTATACTCCGCAGCTATAAACTTACAAATACTAATACACAATACAAATACTGAAAGAAACAGTTTGAGAGCCATTGAAGCCTACGAAATGATAAAATAAATAAATTTAAGAAAGTAATTAATCAAAAGAAATAAATAAAAGGGGGAATATCGAGAATGATGAAAACACTGAAAATCTTAGGGTAGATAAATCAGAATTTTACGTAATAAGTTACAGTTACTTTAACATATTAATAATATATAATAATATGCAATTTAAATAAATATGAGAGAACTTAAATAAAAACCAAACGAAATTTCAAAAATAAGCATGGCAGAAAAAACAGTACTTCTTCAGGGGACACACTGCTCAACTAACATTCTGTAGCCTTTCTGCATAGTCAGTGGCTAAACCAAAAACTGACTGTGCCCCAAGGCACCATAATGATAATATATTAATAATAATATATTAATAATTATTAAATAAATATATGTATTTTAATGAAATAATAGTCAGTCATTTATAGTGACTTGACATCATGTGACATATAACGGACCAGATGGTGACCAAGAACGTAACGATGGTGACCAAGGTGTAAGAACAGTTTAAAATAAAACGATATTTTTTTTAATGCATATAATCAGCAAGGTTGTTTATTGTTTAAACAGTTAACCAAAATTCAATGGCTTGTCTTATCAGTATTCAAGATGTTAGGTAATGATACACTACACTTTCGAAATGTGCCAGAAAACGAATTTAAAGAGTTTTTTGGTAAAAAAAACTCCACGATTTCATGTGGGCAACAAGATATTCTTCTGACCCTTAGAGCTATTATCGTGTTGAAATTTTGGAAATGTAAATACTTTTCCCGAAACAACATTAAGAAACAGTTAAAATCAAAAATATACCCTTTGGATAAAAAAAATGCAATAGATGGAAGGAAAACAATTTTCAACTTTGTTTTTTTAGGTAATGATAAGCCTAAACATTCTTCTCTACAGAAAAATATAGTTCGTTCTGAAGATTTTTAAAAATTGTTATAGTCAGTTTAAAAAAAAAAAGTACTATGCTTGTTACCTTGTTTTTCTAGGAAGGATAATGGTAAAAACATTATGTAGTCATCAATTAAAAATAATTATAATAAATGTAGTTTTAGGAAAAACGCATTTCAAGCACAGCAAAGTAATTTTGTAGGCATCAGCAAAATAAAAAATTTATCACCCTGAATAACTTTTGGACAAATTATCAAATATTCACCTATTGATAAGCGGACCTTATGTTTCGAGCGTTCTTCCGAAAGGCAGACGACAGTTCAAAATACTAAATTGGGTACTTAAAATTCGAGAAGAAATGAAGTGATTATGCCTAACTATGTGATTTAAATCTTAATTGGATACCTGTGAGTGACGTCACGCATGCGTGTCAAATCTGATTGGCTCCTGAATCGACAAATGCCATGATTTAATGACGACGGTCACTTTAAACTATCTAATTTGACGCAAAAATGGTAAAATAAACATACCTTTTAATAAAAAATTTACCCTTTCAAAACAGATTCTGATTTCTGACATTTTAAATATGAGATAACTTCAATTTTTGAAAATAAGATCCCACTGAATTCTATCGCAATACCAAATTTTATTGTAGTCGCTTCACGGTACCAATTTATAACGAGGCAAATTTTTTTTACACCCTCTTGAACACAAAATTTAAACAATCGGTTGAATAGTTTTAAAGAAGTAAAAATTTAAAAAATTCACATTTTCATGATACAGTTTCCCACATTTTAACATTAGACGAGGGTAATCTTAAATAACCTATGAAAATATTTTGTAAACTGATGCAACGAAAGAAGTGCTTTTATTTATTTATTATTTTTTCAGGCACAAAATTTAAATAATCAGTAGAATAGTTTTAAGGAAGTAAATATTTAAAAAATTCACATTTTCATGACACAGTTTCCCTCGCTTTAACATTAGAAGAGGGCTATCTTAAATAATCTATGAAAATATTTTGTAAACTGATGCAATGAAAGAAGTGCTTTTATTTATTATTTTTTTCAGGCAGTATCCATTCTCTTGGGCTATTCCAACTGAAGAAAAAAACTGGAAATATCGTCTTTCAATTTATTATGCGAAAGATCATGATTCCGGGACATATACTTGCATTACACCTCAAGATATCAGCAACGAAGTGAATATTGTTGTTAAGGGTAAATTCTGCAGCTTGCAACTCTATTAGAAATTCCTATTTACAAAATACAAAATATAGGATTTACTTTATATATATATATACATATATATATATAATTTAGAATTTTATAGCGGATTCGATCGACAGTTTTCGAGAAATGAAAAATATGACGCCTTCGAAATTTTATTGTTTGAGAACTATTTGACCCAGTACCAGTAGAAGTTTTACCTTTCATGCATACCTTTTCATTGTTTTGTTTTCATTTAGGTAAAAATAAGTGGAATTTTGCATTTTAACAGTTCATGGTTATGATATGCAGCAAAAAAATTTTAATTCTTTTTCTGCGTAAAAGGTAAAATCTTCAAGCAATAATGTTTCAAATTTGAAACATTATTGCTTAAACTTATTACCTATATTGAATATAAATGAAGAAAAAAAAATTAAACTACTTTTTTTTGGATATTATATTTTCGAACAAACATAATTCTGATATTTTTAGCAACTATTAGAGCGTTTTTAATAATTAAAAAAATATATGTTTTTGCTTGTAATTATAGCTTAAAAAAAATGTATGAAAGAGACACCGGTGTCTCATTTGCGACAAAGAGCAATCTGTTTTAAGATTGAAATTTACAAAATTCAAGATTATATAAAGATTAAAGATAATAACTTGTGATTTTTCTGTTCAATGAGAATGTATAAAATGCATGCTTAGCAAGAAAGTATGCATAGTATATCTCTATGTGTCACAAAAAAATAAATAGCCGTGTTTTTGTGATATAAAGGTAAGTGATAACAGTGTTTCTTGTGATATGAAGATTAATTTAATTAATTGTAAGGCATGATATATCTATACCTTAAAATTCATTAAACTTAAATATTATTACAATTTTGTAATAATTATCTGTGGATAATTACTACAAGTACAATTAAGTGCAGTTTTTTAATTACTAGCAAAAAATTTGGGAGATGACGAGATTCTTAAAAAGTGATAACATTGTGTGGTGATAACTTGATAACTTTAAAAAGTGATAACTTTAAAAACGATACCGGGATAGCCTGATCGGTTGGGCGCTGGGCCCATGTCCAAGAGTTCGTGGGTTCAAACCCCGCCGGCCGAAGACTCCCCGTGCGGTAAAGTGATTGATGCACGTTAAATCTGTCGAGTCGCATAAGTCCTCTATGTTCCCATAACCAATCAATACCTCTGGGGGTACTAAATTGGTGATCGATCGTTCTCTGATTCGGATCAAAATTACGATCTGTGGATGAATGAATGGATGTATGAATGGGTCCGCCCTATAAACGGGTGCGACGTATGGTGTGGCAGAAGTCGAATTCTTGGCCATAGATGGCACCCCTTCTGCCTAAGCAGGCATACGTCAACAAAAACTTTAAAAACTCATAGGACTTCATAAATTGTTGTCATTTTCCAGTTTGCATTTACCCCATATACCCAGAGTCACAAATATGAATTAGCCTAAAAAAACGGCACTGAGTACTTGAAAATCTGAATCTAAAATCATTCAGAATGTTTTATTTTCTGAAATTTTTATTTAAATATAAGTATTTTTTTTTGGAAATTTTTAAATAAAGATCTTGTTCAGTAGTATATTATCAACAGTTAACAGCCTTAAGTGAAAAAAACACTTTTTAAAAAAATATCTAAAACGGTTAAATATAAAATTTCAGATGTGCACTGCCCAGCAATCAAATCGGTAGATCATAATCGTGTTATGGCAGTTGAAGGCAATAGGATGCACAGTAAAGCACGCTTTGCTTGTATGGAAGGCTTCGAACTTGTGGGGCCTGAAGAAATCACATGTCAAGCATCTGGTCTATGGTCAGAGGATGCCCCACACTGTGAAGGTATAACATTATAACACTTTTTCTATACTTAACGTATTCTTCTAACTTGTTAAGTAATACCGAAAAAGATTGCAATAAAATAGAGTATTAATTTTCAAAGCCGAAAAAATATACGAACCACTCTGAATAACAACTGATCTAATAATCGGATCTAAACATTCTAGGACTCAATCTTAATTATTCGAAGGGATGACCTCAAATATACGAATTAATTAGTGCAGACAATACAAAGTTACGGAATCAGACACAAAAAAGTATTTCTCTGAATAAACATACCTTTTTCATAATGGTTTCGAATTTTTGACCTCTAAAATATAGGAGATTGTCGCAATCTGGGAAATATGGTCTTCATAGTTTAGTCAAGAGAGCTATCCAAAGTTGGAACCCCTTAATACTAATTTTACTTTTTGCATATTTCGCCAAATCTCGAGAACTGTTTAAGCGAATTGAAAAATTTTTACTCATAATTATAAAATTCGATTATCCAAATGAAATTTTATGCAAAACGTAGCTATTAATAAATATTTATTATTATTTTTTTTTTACTAATAGTCGAAGAATTTTTAATAAATATACAATTTTTACATTATTTTAAAGAATGTAATTTTACAAGGCAAAATAAAACATTTGAGCAAAATTGGTCGAATTTTCTTAAGAAATCAAATTTCAACTATACGACTTTTCTCATGAACTATTCAATCGATTTCAAAATTTTGTATTTTGCGATATAAAATAATTTACCAATTTTGCTCAAATTTTTTATTTTGCCTTGTAAAATTACATTCTTTAAAATGATGAAAAAAATTTTATATCTTACAATTCAAAATTTGTTGACTACGATTAAATAAAATAATAAATTACACTAACAAATATTTTTTGCACGGAAATATATCTTTGGATAAACCCTTTTTTTAACTGCGAACAAAAATGTATCATTAAGTTTAAAAAGTTCTCAAGATATGGTTCAAGTATATTTTTATTTATCAAATTTTATTTTGAACAGCCGACCCAATTTTCGGGTTAACGAACTATAATGTTCAACTTCGTAGTCTTGAACCCGATCCAGAAGATGAGGGAACTCCTGGATCAAGTATTGGGAGAAATTTGCCTTCGTGGAGGACTTTTTGATGGAACTAACCCGCATTCGCATTACATGGAGAGGACCCTATGTAACGCGATCTTACCCATGATCCATCTACCACTGAGGATATTTCACGTCAGCACTGTGGTCGGTGCAAGCCGGATGCGAAATTCGTATCGGCCAGTCATCGCTGGGATTCGAACCTGGTTCACCTTATTGGAAGGTTAACGCTCTATTCCCCGAGCCACCACGACTCAAAACTTTTGACCGCCCTCCTGATCTAACCATTGGAACCATACTTCTCAGATTGCCTATGTGTTTGGGGCAACCCTATGTCCTGGGGATGAGAAATCCGAATCCATCGGAAAAAAAGGTATGTTTCTTCAGAGGAAATACGTTTTTGTGCCTGCTTTTGTAACTTCATATCGTCTGCACTTATTAATTTGCATACTTGAGGTCATCCCTTCGAACCATTAAGATTGAATCCTAATACGTGATGATTCGATCATTAATTATACATGCCTATTCGTCTGTCTTATATTTTGCATGTACATTCATGCAACTGAATTTTTAGAGTATATTAAAAATAAAAATAAAAACATTTAATAAGCACATGAATTATAGTAATTAAATTAAAAAGAACTTATTTTGAAAGATTGAAATTTTTTTAACCTAATTAATTTTCTTAGTTTTGAAGTAGTTAATAGCTTCACCTATTTGGGCTCTGAATTGAACACTATTAATGACGCAACGTCAGAAGTAAGTAACAGAATAACAGATGTTTTTATGGAATACACAAATATTTAAAATCTAGTCTAATCTCATTAGCAGGAAAACAAAATTAGTTTCATACTCTCTTGAAACGTGGGCAATGCTCGAAGGTGATAAGGAAGTTTTAGCGGTTTCCGAAAGAAAAATACTGCGAATTGGGAATTGTAAAGTTTAATGATAGTTGCATAAAGGAACAAAATCAGAACTTTATAGAATCTACAAAGAGTCAGACATAATAAAATTTATATGAGTTCAAACACAAAAATGGACAGTGCCCCTGATTAAAATGAATGATGACCGGGCCGCCAAAAAGATCTACGACGTAAAGCCCTCTGGAGCCCGAAAAAGGGAGAGATGAAGGTCCGGTGGATCGACAGTCTAGAAAACGATTTAAGAGTTCTTGAAGTTATAAACTGGAAGAGTCTATCCAAGAAAAGGGTAGCTTGGAACTTACTTCCGAAGAAGACCATGGCCCACACTTGGTTAGCATGCTATTAAAAAAGAATTAATTTTCACTTCACACACGATTAAAAAAAATCATTTTCTGTACTCATCTCTGAAATATTTTTCATTTTCTCATATTTTTTTATTGCAGTATTGAAATGTCCTCGATTAGTATCAGAGAGCATGCATCTTATAGCGAGCACAACAAACCGTACATATGGAACAAGGGTAGTATTTTCCTGTCCGACAGGCTTCAAGCTTGCAGGAGCGCCGTTTCTTAGTTGTTTGAAAACAGCCAATTGGTCAGATGCTACGCCAACCTGCAACCGTAAGTTGTAATTTAATTCCTACAATTAATTACCGAACTGTAGCTATGAATTACAGTTTAATAATTAGAATTGAAACCCTATCAGCCAGAATTTCAATTTAGCATTATCATAGATGTTTTTTTTTACCCTCATTTATTTTTTTTTACAATTTAATTTATATAATAAAGATTTCTTTTTCATCTAATTGTAATCGACAGAATAAAATATTTTTCATAACCACAGTAAGTGACGTTCTTTCGAAACAATTACTTAATGAATATAATTAGTCACAGCAATTTTTTCGAATCAGGGATGCTTACTTACTCATACAGCCCGTTGTAAGCCTTAGAAGGCCGAATAGTAACGCTCCAGACTTTCCAATGTTTGACTTTCAATTTCCAATTTTTCACTTTCAAGGTTGTTAGATCTTTGGTGGTGTCATCCAACCATAATTTTTTTTCTTCCTCTTGGTTTCGAGTTTCCAATTTAAAAGTTTTTTTAGATTTTGATAACCATTTATTTTTTTAATATGCCCCATCCATGCCAAACGTCTGGGTTTTATAAATCGAATCATGTTTTTTCGTCTGATTAAATGGTCAAGTTCACTATGCATTATTTACTTTGATTGGCCCGATAATTCTTTTAAAGATTTTCCTTTCGAAGATTAGTAAGTTAGATTCTTCTTCATTTGCTAGAGTTTAAATTTCACTGCCACACGTAACTAAAGGCGTGAGAACTGTTTTATTGACTTTTAATTTGATTTCCTCAGTAAGAAGTTGTTCTTGAAAAAGTATTGCTAGCTTATGTGTAGCAGATACTTTTGTATATAACAAAATAAAATTCCCGTTGTAAAGTTTAAATGCAAAATAGGACGTTTCTTAAATATTCTATATGTTATATTTTTCAAAACAATAAAATAAACTTTCATGATAAATGCAATAGATTGTTGTAATAAATGCTGACTATCACTGTTTATGCAAGTATAAAAAGGATTGCTACAAAATTAAATACATAAGAATAAAAAATCAAGCTCATTATTATGCAAAAAAATGTCGGTTTGTCTATAAATTTAAAAAATAACGAAACAAACACAAATTGAACCAGAAAAGTAAGGGGCCGTTAAAGAGAAAGCCCAAAAACTTAGTCATTTCTGTAGTTTTTTTTAAAGTCTTCTACATATTTGAAATTGAAAATAAAAATAGTTGATCGCTGAAAATAAAAATATTTTCTAATACAGTATAACTTGTGTAAGTTGACCACCTGTGGTGCATTGTTTTAGTGGTCTACTTAGACAAGTGGTCAACTTATAGAGGGGTTTGGGTCATTGTTTACTTCTTCGTTTCCTACATCATGTTGATGATATGAA